ACATTAACCATAATGTAGGATATGTGTGCAGGAACAGAAAATGCTATTAAGTCAACCTAAATGTTAAGAATGTGAACAGTAAAGAAAAGCGCATGAATTTAATCTTAATGTAAGCCTAAAGTTCAGGTTAAGGAAATAGTTTAAAGTCACTGAAATGTTAAAGATATGTCTATATAAAGCAAATGACATGAATTCATAATGTTAAGAGTGTAAATGGCATGATGTCAATTTTACATCAACCTAAATGTTAGAGATATGTACATGTGTAGGAAGTGGCAGGAGGACAACCTAAATGTTGTGAGATAAGTACTGGAACAGGAAACAGCCAGACGTCAATCTGAATATTGGAGATACATACTGATTCAGCAACAGGAAATGGCATGATGTAGATCTAAATGTTATAGATATGTACTGGTATAGGAAATGGCATTAAGTCAACCTTGTGAACAGGAAATAATTTTGTCAACCTTTATGTAAAGAGGGAAAGGAAATGGCTTGAAAATAGCCTTAATATGAAAGAAATAAGCAGGCAAAGGAAATGACATTAAACTTAACCTAAAGACTAAATTGTAAAATGGTAAGTAAATCTAAATGTTTTGGGTGTGTACAGGTACTGAAGAAAAGGTATAAAGTCAAATGACATGTGTAGGTACAGGAAATGGTACAGTATCAGGGCTCTAGCTAGACCAAAATTTAAGGGAGAAGTGACTTCTCTCTCAGCTCCTATAGGACATATGGAGAAGTGAAAAAGTGCTAGACACATTGATTTGATCTATAAAAAGATGTTTTATCTATTTACTCAGTAATATTAATTAATATTAAATTATATATAAAAGATGTAGTCATAATAGGAATACATATTCAGATTGTTTTAATTTAATAAAAATGCAGATATTTTTATTAAGATCTATTTATTTTTTTTAATTAAACAAGTATTTAATGTTCCAAATGGGAAACACTTAACTGTTAGAAAGTGATTGAAAGTTATTTGAAAGATAATTCCTAAAAACCCTCTATCATCAGACCATTATACTGTTTTCTTCCTGATTAACTCCACCCCACACCTGCCCCCCCCCCCCCTCCCTTCAGAAAATATTCATTGTACAACACATACTGGCAAATTTCTCAATCTAAATTAGTGTAAACAATACCTGAAGTAATTTTCATAAATAAACTACATTTAAAGTTTCAGTTGACACATTTTTACAAAAAACTTTTCCTTATGGTTACTTTATTTTTTCATCGTAAAAATCGCCATTGCAAAAATATGTGACAAATGAAAGTTTGTTTCCTGCAGAAACACTTACAATTCTAGTTGTTGATTTTGATTATATTAAATTAAATATTTTATGATTATTTGTAGTTTTGTTTTTTTTTTCATCCGCTATTGCAATAGGCATTGTAAAACAAAATTTTCAAGTTTCTAGTTTACGGCAAAATTTACTGATGTTGATGTAACTTTTTGTAGCTGTTTATTTGATTTGTCAATAATTGGTCTAATGTGGGTCAATATCTTAAGTTCTTTACCAAATTTGTTTTTACTATCAAACAGGTATCGAGCCATTTACATACATGTGCTCCTGTGTGTCTTAATTTATATGCAAGTAAATTTACACTGTTTGTTTGTTTTGGGTTTTACGTCACACCGACACAGTATAGGTCATATAGCGACGTTCCAGCTTAACTGGTTGAGGAAGACCTCAGGTGCCCTTCCGTGCATTATCTCAGGCACGAACGGCACCTGAGTAGAACCACCGACATTCCAAAAGCTAGCTTGATAGCTTCTTGACATGAAAGAATCCAAAGTCCCTGTAGGTATTCGAACCCACAGTGGTGAGGGGCAAGTGATTTGAAGTCATCCACCTTAACCACTCGGCCACGGACGCTCCTACACTGTTTGTGTGAAGTTGCGGGTAATTACTGTCAAATATGGTAAGAGCAATTCCGGGTGTAAGCTTTTAAAATCGCTAATAAAAATAGTGCCAAGTGTCATAAAATTATGCTAAAAAATTGCGATGTTGATTTTTACAGTACATTGGGGAATTAAAAGGGCAATATGTATGATGTATCTGCATATCATGTCACTTGAATGTGTTAATTGCTGTTAATTATCTGCAGTAACTGTGTGTCACCAATTCAGTTTGATTTACGCCTGGAGGCGAGGATTAATTTTATTGACATGCCCTGTGTGATATGCAGTAAGTAAAAAAGCGCTGCGAAGACGATTTCACTTTGATGTTCTGAGGTCAGAAACTTAAGGCCACTAAGTCGCCCAAATCGCCCACTTGCGAGAGTCCCGAGTATAAATGTTAAGAGACATGTACAAAAACTGGCATCAAGTCAACTGTGTAGGAAATGTGTTAAAAATCATACAGTGCAGGAAATGGCATGAAGTTAAAGATATTGCTAGTGCAGAAAATGGCATAAGACAAGCTAAATATTAGGTTTGTATAGGTATAGGAAATGGCAGAGTCAACCTTAATGTTAGATATGTACATTGACAGGAAATTATAGGGGATTCCACCAGTCATTTACTGCTAGGGCTGATGAACCTCATAAACTTCAACCAAATCTATAGAAAAGTTTATAAAATAAAATGATTATAAAAGGAAATAACCTTGTAGCGCAAAACAAATTTGAGGGTCACTTCTTAGTTATCTGCCCTTGAATCAGATTTTTTTTACTTATTTGAGGTCATTGTAAGAGCAGATAACTTACGTGTCTGTATAATCTTGTTTTTACTTCTGGATGTATTTCTTTTTATTGTTGTTACAATACATAATTACAGGTAATTCCATCTTATTTCTGTTATTTTTTTAGTTTGAATAAAGGTATTAAATTTCTTTTTAAAAAATAGGCCATTTTTTAAGTAAAAAAAGTCTCAGGTTTAGAAAAGAAGGGGGAAAAAGCCAATCTACTTACTCTTTATCCTTTATTGAAATTTTGCACATTGACTCAAATGGAAGTAAACTATATAAAATAGGCAAAAAAATAGGTTTTGTTTACCTTTATTGTGAATTATCTGCCCTTGATTTGATCATTCAACAAAGAGAACGGTGACCCCCCCCCCTTTTTTTTTTGCTTAATATGTTACCATTATCATATTTTAACAACATTTTAATAAAGTCTATTGAACAGTTTTAATTTTGCCGATATATGTCTATATGAAAACTTCCAAAAAGGTCTTTAAAGATGTAATTCCACTACATTTACACTGTATATGAAAATTCTTTTTCAAGTTCATCAAACTGTACCTTATCTTTACTCCTGACTGTACATACATTTTTTGCAGACACACAAGTTAACATTTTTGCAGACAAGTTTTAAAGTGTATAAAGCTATATGTATATAACAGATGGAAAAATTATTGTTTGAATTTTTAAAAAAAGTATACTTCCAAAATGCTTGTATAAAATAAATATGGTAATTTATTGCCTTAAAAGCAAAATTAATGGTGCATGCAGAAAAATCATTGCTAAGCGGATAAAACCCTTCTTAAATAGCAAAATAATATTTAATGAACCAGAACATTTTGTTCTGTTTGGTTTATACAGAATTTATTTTAGTTTGATTGTGTAGGAAGCTATAAGCTTATAGACACACTTTCGAATCCATTCCTGGAACAAACCAGTACTGAGCAATGTGTGTGTGCAAGTTTCTTGCTCAAGGAAACAACGACTTGCCCCTGACAGAGTTTGAACTCATGCGACTAGCGATCATTAGATTACTAGTCCGAAGTAAAAAACCACTCGGCCATGCCGCTATTATTCTGTTTATGTTCATTATTCATGTGTATTAAATAACAGAGACATTCTATGTTACAACTTTTTCAGGAATCAACCATACAATAATGGATTTTGTTTTGTTTGTTTGTTTCATTTTACGCCTTTTGCCCAACAGTATTTCAGTCATATAGGCGCATAGTTTCCTAACCATCGTTCCTGGAGAGTTACACCAGTACTAGACTACCTTCCTCCGCCCTAAACTACCAAAGCATCTCCCAGGGATCGAACCCATGCCAGAGAGGTAACTGGATTAGAAGTCATCAACTCTAACCCCTCGTCCAGGGAGGCACCAATATAGTTTGACTTTTGATAAATTTTATTAGAAAATTTCATAAGATAATACCCTTTAAGAATCACACAGAATAATTCAAAGTCCCCAGAAGCAAGAGATATCTTGCAGAATTTTTAACAACCAAGTCACCAGAATGCATCAAATTATGTAGAAATATTACACATACTATTACAGGGTTTGCAAAATTACTGTAACAAAATCATAATTCTGGTATATTTTATTTACAGAATTTATTTTAGTTTGATTGCATAGGAAGCTTAATTTAAAGCTTATAGACACACTTTCAAATCCATTCCAGAAACCAACTAGTACTGAGCAATGAGTGTAAAGTTTCTTGTTCAAGGAAACAACAACTAATACCCCTGAAGGGGTTTGAACCCATGCGGCTAGCTTACTAGTCCGACATGTTAACCACTTGGCCTTGCTGCCACTATCTGCAAAGGCAGGTTACATTTGAAGTCACACAAAATCACACTATTAACTTCTTGACACATTAAAATTTCAAATTCAAATGTAAATTTTATTAAAGGGACTCCACTGAGGTTTAAAAGCCTAAAAACATAAAATTTGATTTTCTTACATAAATGAGCTGGGGCAATTTAAACAGAAATATATGCAAAGATAGTTAAGAAATGTACTTAGAAATAAATTGAAAATCGTATTTTTATGTTTTTCTTAGCCCGATTTGAGTGAAAAGCATTTAAACATTTTTCATTTTGGGTCATTTTTTTTACAATTTGAATAATTATTCTGGAAAAACGAAGAGCGTGAACAATCTGAAATTTTGCACAAAGATTAGTGGTCTAAACCTACATCAAATGGTATATTTGTCTGGAAAAAATCTTTTCAGTCCCATCATGTCAAAAAACCTCAGTGGAGTCCCTTTAATATTAAAGAGAATAACAATCAGTAAACTCTAAAACTTCACTTACTAGTTTATTAACAGGATAAAGCCTCTGAATTTCTGTTTTGGCTTCATGTCCAACTTTCAACATATTCTTGGTTCTCTCTAATAACACCTGAAAATAAAAATAAAAACATTTTGCTGTTAATGTGGTACAGGTATAAACTAAATGATTGTGTTTGACAATTTTGAAATTCATCATTACAGGAAAACCTAAAATTGACAATAAAGTTGTTGAAATGAACATAGTTACAAAAAAGTAAATTAACGGTTTAAATTAATATTCTTATGTTTCTCAATTAATAAATAGGCTACTAACATGTAAATCATTTGCAAAGAACTTAAAATTCAAAATGTTGTTCACTGCAGTAAAGATTGGTTGAAATCCCACCTGTGAAGGCTGGACAAGATTTTACTATTTTTAGCTCTGGGGGCCATTTTGTGCAGCAAAGCGGAACATGCTGGCTATGTGCACTGATTACTTCTGTAAAGTTTGGTTGAAATCCCACCAGTAGGTTTTCCTGTGAAGGCCGGAAAAGATTTTTTATTTTTAGCTGTGGCGCCATTTTGTGCAGCAAAGCGGAACGTGCCGGTGATGTGCACAACTCAGGCTCCTGTAAAGTTTGGTTTAAATCCCACCAGTAGTTTGACCTGTGAAGGCCGGACAAGCTTAATGCAGACAGACAGACGGCCAAGGTAAACTAGAACTGTGTCCAAAAAACAACGGATGCCCCCACTGACAACATATATATGATATATAATGAAAAAATCAACAAAGGGCCATAATTCTGTTAAATTTGGTTGCAGCAAAAATTCCTTCCTTTACTGCCATCTACACATTAAGGTTGTTCATCCCTAGAAGTTTAAGCAAAATCTGCCATCCGGTTTTAGAGGAGTTGCGTTCACAAAATTTCTACATAGTATATAGTGAAAAAATCAACAAAGGGCCATAATTCTGTTAAATTTGGTTGCAGCAAAAATTCCTTCCTTTACTACCATCTACACATTAAGGTTGTTCATCCCTGTAAGTTTAAGCAAAATCTGCCATCCGGTTTAAGAGGAGTTACGTTCACAAGATTTCGGGACGTACGGACGGACGGGCGTACGGACGGACACTCGGACGGACAGACGGACAGACAAGTACAATGCTATATGCTCCCACTTTGTGGGGGCATAAAAATTGCAAATTAACATTAAGCTGGTTGATTCTAACTCAAGCACTGGAGGAACAAATAACACAACATAATGAAATGGTTTTTACTAAGTAAAGGGCAATAACTACAAAAAATACTGGATAAATCCACAAGCGAACCCAAAGGTGCATAAGTACATAAGTACATATGCTGATCTACATTCTTTTAACTTTCAGGCCTGCAGGTCAAATACTTTTTGAGCTATGCATGAACAACTGAAAATTGCAAATTTTTACTAAGTCATGGGCAATAACTCTGACAAAAACAGAATAAATCCACAAGCAAAACCCAAAGTGCACAACTTCGCATGCTGACCAACATTCCTGTGAAGTTTCATGACTACGTCGAATACTTTTTGAGTTATGTGCAACACAAGTTGAAAATTGCAAATTTTTACCAAGTCAAGGGCAATAACTCTAAAAATACTAAATATATCCAATGAAAATACCCAGGTGCACAACTTCACATGCTGAGCAATACCTCTGTAAGGTTTCATGACTCTAGGTTAAATACTTTTTGAGCTATGTGGAACACAAAATGAGAACTGACAAAGGATGGATGGATGGAAAGGGTTAAATCTAAATGTGCACCCCCCCCCCCCTTAAAATGGGAGCACAAAAGTTCATTAAATATTTAAGAGAATCACAAGCAGTAAACTCTAAAACTCACTTACCAGTTTATCAACTGGATAAAGTCTCTGAATTAAACATCAAGTATGTCTGTTTTGCCTCATGTCCCACTTGCAAGATATCCTTGATTATTATACCATTGGCTCTCTCAAATAATTGTCTTCTGTAGCCACTTTGTAACCCACCTAAAAATTAAAAATAAACAAAATTGCTATTTATGTTTACAATACATGTATAATGTGAATGTGTTTACAAATTTAATTGCAAGTTGACAACTGTGAAATTCATCATTACAGGAATACCTAAAATTGACATAAAGTTGTTTAATTAAACATACAAGAAAGTAAATTAACAGTTTAAATTAACATTATTATGTTTCCCTATGAATAAATAGGCTACTTACATATAAAGCATTTGCTAAGAACTAAATTCAAAATGTTGTTGGTCAATTTTATTTACTACAAAATGGACTTGAAAACAACTGGGCATTAACTGTTATCTTGTGAGTGTGTGAAAAAAAGGATCATGTGACCCTATATTTTGTCACATTGTTACAGTTGGATAAATTATTGTGCAGTAATGCTAGGGGCTTTACTTTGTGCTGTGATCCTTATCCTCAATTATCAATCAATTAAAACTGACCACCTTTACCAGTCACCAATAAACAGGTACAATTGGATTAAGAGATTAAGCCTGTTGCAAATACACTATCATTGAGGGCTTAAACTTTTAACTTGCTGGAAAAAAAACTCATAAGGCATTGCCATCAGTATAGAGCTAGGCCAGTCTAAACATTTGTGCAGACTGGCCTGGTTCTAAAATTTTGTTTGATTAAATTTTAATTTTTATCTTGATATCCCAAAATATTTGTCACGGTTCAGAACTGTTCACAAATTAGGGGAGATAATGTGTAAGCAGCGGGGTTGAGCCGCAATACGGTATTCCGAGGGTCCCATTTTTGCTGAACATTTTCCTCACTCTGTGACATTTGGCCCCTAACAGGGGGCTGTGACTACATAATGATAGCTCAAGAGTTTAAAATACATTGCTATGTAACTTTGTGAAATTCAAAGATAAATTTCAATATAGAGGGGATTGAGTATGTCATGGTTCAAAACTGTCCACAATTTTAGGGAGATAGCTCAGTCGGTAAATTGCAGAATGGTATTCCCAGGGTCCAGGGTTCAAGTCTCTGTCAGGCTGCACATTTTTTGCACCCTGTAACATATTGATGAAAAGAAATCAGGCATAGACAATTTAAGAAATTCAGCAGATGAAGGGTGAAATAAATCTATGATAGAATGGATGCAGTAGTTCAGTGGTAACACTGTATTACTAAACATCCAGGGGTTGCAAGTTTGATCCCTGCAGTCCAAACTCTCTTTCAGACGTGAATTCAAAATTGAGGCACTTAACTCTTTAAGATTTTCATCTAGACAGTTCCAAACTTGAAAGCGGCCAAGTCTATTTAGAGAATTCAGTATAGGTGAATATGTTGTTTTTTTTAGAATAACAAGCAATATATAAGCAATACATAACATCACATTAAACCTGACATTCAAAACAAGAGCACAGCAAATTAAGCCAAGACAATACACACAGAATATGCAACCTTGTAAGTAACAATGATCAAAAAATCTTTTAAGAAGGGAAAAGACTTTGCATTTATGAATTTTTTCGAAACATGTTCTATATTAAATATCCTCACCATAACAAGAAATTGTAACAAAAAAATTATTTTCAAATTGTAAAGCTTCATATTGTACCTCTTGTTTCTCTTATTAAATGATAGATATAGTATCTTGTATATTTCTGAATTGAAATTTTAGACTTCAAAAAATGTTTTTAACAAGAGGGCCAAGATGACCCTAGATCGCTCACCTGACCCATCTAACTCATCCGAACAATTACTTAGACAAGCATTCTGACCAAGTTTCATTACTGGCGAGTCAACAAGAGCTGTCCGTAAGACAGCGCGCTCGACTTTTTTATTGCTTGCCAATAAAAAAAGTTTTTGCAGTAAAAGGCAATACAAGAATCTCTGTATTTTTAAAGTGAACAATGGCCATGAGCATTAAGATATTTAGTGAAGAATTATTTTACTGAATTGTGTGATACCCTTGAACACTGCAGCAAAGTTTGAAATGTTTAAGTCAAAAGAGGGCTGGTAAGAAAGAAAAAAAAACTGAGTTGAGCCTTAAATAAATTTAATAGTATTAAACCCACTTTGAGAGAATAAGGTATTTATGATGTGAAATAGCATTAAAAGTTTCAAAGCAATATCTCAAAGGGTTAAGGCAATAAGTGGATTTTACCCATATTCAATGTATTTTCTAAGTCAAAAAGGGGCATAATTCTGTCAAAAACCTTGACAGAGTTATGTCCTCTTGTCTGTTGATGAAGGTCGTGATGGTAAACAAGTATGGTCAGTTTCAAAGCAATACCTCCAATGGTTTTGAAATAAAGTGAGGTGGTACAAAAAACTTAACCAAGCTCAATACACTTTCTAAGTCAAAAAAGGGCCATAATTCTGTCAAAAACCTTGACAGAGTTATGTACTCTTGTCTGTAGATGGAGGTTATGATGGTGAACAAGTATGGTAAGTTTCAAAGCCATACTTGTAATACTTCTGAAATAAAGTGGGGTGGTACGAAAAACTTAACCAAGGTGTGACGCCAACGCCGACGCCGACGCCGGGGCGAGTAGGATAGCTCCCCTTTTCATAGAAAAGTCGAGCTAAAAATGTGACCACTAGAGTGTTAACAAGGATTTTCCATATTTGAGCAGTGTGACCTAGTTTTTGACCCCAGGTGACCCATATTCAAACTTGACCTAGAAATCATCAAAACAAATTTTCAGACCAATTTCCAGGATATTTGGATCAAAACAGTAGCCACTAGAGTGTTAACAAGATTTTTCTATTTTTAGCTCCTGTGACCTAGTTTTTCATCCGAGATGACCCATGTTCGAACTCATCCGAGCAATTACCTAGACAAGCATCCTGACCAAGTTTGATGACAATTGAGTCAAAAATGTGACCACTAGAGTGTTAACAAGGTTTTTCCATACTTAGTTTTTGACCCCAGGTGACCCATATTTGAACTTGATCTAGAAATCATCAAAACAAACTTTCAGACCAATTTCAAAGATATCTGGATTGAAACATAAGCAACTAGAGTGTTAACAAGATTTTTCTATTTTTAGCTCCTGTGACCTAGTTTTTCATTCGAGATGATCCATGTTTGAACACATCCAAGCAATCACCTAGACAAGCATCCTGACCAAGTTTAATGATAATTGAGTCAAAATGTGACAACTAGAGTGTTAACAAGGTTTTTCTATTATAAGCTCCTGTGACCTAGATTTTCATTCGAGATGACCCATGTTCGAACGCATCCAAGCAATCACCTAGACAAGCATCCTGACCAAGTTTGATGACAATTGCGTCAAAAATGTGACGGTGTTAACAAGGTTTTTTTTTTTTAGCTCCTGTGACCTAGTTTTTCATCAGAGATGACCCATGTTCAAACCCATCTGAGCAATCACCTAGACAAGCATCCTGACCAAGTTTGATGATGATTGAGTAAACTAGAAATGTGTCATTATGCCACGGATGCCCCCGCATGCAGCCAAAATTTCAGATGTTATAATATTTAGTTCCAAATTTGTTTGCACAAATTATTGTTTTCATTTAAAGTTCAAAGCCCTTAAAACTTTTCAATGTTAACACAAACCATTTCCATACAATGTTGAGTGCTGAAACTGAAAGTTCAAAATTTTTCCAATTTTCAAAAAGATAAGTTTGTCCAAAATCATTGAACCACGACCAAATTCAAACTTAAACTGCTTATTCCTAAGATGTATCTATATTATTTTCAAAGTGAAAGGGACATAACTCTGCCAAAAAAATCATCGAACCATGACCAAATTCCAACTTGACCTGCCCATTCCTTTGACATATCCATATTTCAAATTTGAGTTGAAACTGCTGGGTAGATAATGAACAGAAACTGTAAATTTCATATTAATTTCAAAGTGAAAGGGGCATTACTCTGCCAAAAATCATTGAACAATGAACAAATTCGAACTGGGCCTGGGCATTCCAAAAACATATCCATATGTCAAATTTGAGTTGAATGTGTTGTACTGTTGGGGAGATAATAAACAGAAACTGAAAATTTCATATTATTTTCAAAGTAAAAGGAGCATAACTCTGCCAAAAATCATCGAACCATGACAAAATTGGAACTTGACCTGTGTTTTCTAATGACATATCCATATGTCAAATTTGAGTTGAATGTGTTGTACCGTTGTGGAGATAATGAACGGAAACTCAAAATTTCATATTATTTTCAAAGTAAAAGGGCATAACTCTGCCAAAATCATCGAACCATGACAAAATTTGAACTTGACCTGTATTTTCTCATGACATATCCATATGTCAAATTTGAGTTGAATGTGTTGTACCGTTGGGGAGATAATGAACGGAAACTGAAAATTTCATATTATTTTCAAAGTAAAAGGGGCATAACTCTGCCAAAAATCATCGAACCATGACAAAATTCGAACTTGACCTGTATTTTCTCATGACATATCCATATGTAAAATTTGAGTTGAATGTGTTGTACCGTTGGGGAGATAATGAACGGAAACTGAAAATTTCATATTATTTTCAAAGTAAAAGGGGCATAACTCTGCCAAAAATCATCGAACCATGACCAAATTCGAACTTGACCTGTATTTTCTCATGACATATCCATATGTCTAATTTGAGTTGAATATGTGCAACCGTTACTAAGATAATGAACGGAAACTGATGATGACGGAATGACAGAATGACGGAATGACGGAATGACGGAAGGACGGAATGACGGAAGGACGGAAGGACGGAACAGGGTAACACTATATGCCCCGGCCATTACATGGCGGGGGCATAAAAATGTGACCACTAGAGTGTTAACAAGGTTTTTTTTTTTTAGCTCCTGTGACCTAGTTTTTCATTCGAGATGATCCATGTTTGAACAAATCCTAGCAATCACCTAGACAAGCATCCTGACAAAGTTTGATGATAATTGAGTCAAAATGTGACCACTAGAGTGTTAACAAGGTTTTTCTATTTTTAGCTCCTGTGACCTAGTTTTTCATTTGAGATGACCTATGTTCGAACTCATCCGAGCAATCACCT